TATATATATATATATCTATATATATATATATATATACATATATATATATATATATATGTGTGTGTGTGTGTGTGTGTGTGTGTGTGTGTGTGTGTGTGTGTTTGTGTGTGTGTGTGTGTGTGTGTGTGTGTGTAAGTGTGTGTGTGTGTGTGTGTGTGTTTGTATATGTGTGTTTGTGTTTGTGTGTGTGTGTGTGTGGGTTTGTGTGTATGTATGCATGTGTGTGTAGTTGTGTATGTGTGTGTATGTGTGCCATATAGTACCTGCAAATCTCAAGATGTGTTTTCTCGAGAGCCAAAGGACAAGTCCATGTCTCAAAATTTGGTACTCTCAAATAAAATCCTTCACTTTTACTTTACAATTCAGATCTGGGATTTTGCTCTTGTATCTTGGTAACGTGGGGTGCTGTTCATATTCTGGGACGGAGGTAAACTTTCTCTTTTGATTTTTCTTGTTTTATTAACTGATGTTTATATTAGAAAATATCAATCTATTCGGCTGTCGTTAAATTTGATGTTGTTCAGGACGTGTACGACTGTATTCATTCTATCACTGAAACAGGCCTCTCCAACGCATGAATTAGCTTATCTTTTGGTATAATAGATTATGATCCAATTTAAGAATACATATTTGACTTTGATTCTACATCAGTATGCATGTATAGCTCATTTATTTGTACGGGTTCAAACAGTGCAAAGTATATAAATACGGCACATGTTCTTCCGCTTTCCTGTGCGAAATAAAATTGCGTCAGAATCAGTCGACGTTACATTGCACATGGGAAGGAGTGAACTGGAACTTAAATTATCGGTTAGGAATGTGGTTGAATTTGCATGAGCGCATGAACATGGATACCGGTACATATGTATCTACTGGCATAACTCTCGCTATTATTGTTCATTCCAGACTTGAGCGCTACATCCGTGCACTCGATAATGGTACTCTGCGCCGAGTCCTTCGCGAGCAACAGATGGTATGTCACTTCTTTGCTCGTATCGTTCGTAGTCCAACAGGACGCACCTACACTGTTTTTCAGTGTCTCACGAAGCTCTATTCGCGAGAATGTACGTGAAGCTGTGCCGGACACTCACCTGTCCTTGTGATAATAATGCAAATAAGTCTGCTTGCCGTTAGCATTGATATTGGTTCTGATAAGACAGTTCAGTTCAGAAAATCACGATAACTTACGTACCTTTCCTATTCTCTTGAAATTCGTTGCAACAATATTTCATAAAGCTCAGCACTCTATTTGAGGCTTGTAGGTAAATGCACTTGACTCTATCTAGATCTCACATATATCAAATTGATGATGGACTAGCTTCGTCTATAGTTTAACGATGTGTGGACACATACTTTTAAAAGTAGGTTTTTTTGCGATCCTGACTCGATGCAATGCACGTATATGTATACATCTGATCTTTTTCACATACCCATGACGGACCTCACTTGCTAGTGATTTTTCTTCTACTCGGCACTCAACCAATATGCAATTGTAACGTTGGTATCGCAGAACAGCGAGGATGGCCGGGAGAGTGCAGAATGGTTGAACCAAGTTATGAATGCTGCATGGGACTGTCAGCGGAAGGTGTGATTCTAGTCGTGATGAACTTAGATGTCTTTATGTGTGTGCTGATCTGCAGACATGTTCATATACATTATTTTGGGAGACTGTGTTCATTTTGTTGCAATGTATATCCGGCTGTATCTCGAAATATATACTTTTTGCTCGCTCACACATGGCAACGATGGGTGTGGTGTGACTGTGATATGCAAACGAGTAGAACGCAACGTAGACGTTTCTGATGTTACATCTTTTCAATCCATTATATATATATGTGCAAATTTTATCCATCAAACCACTTACATCTCGGCACAACCCGCACAGGTGTGGTCCGAACGGCTGCGTGCCAAACTGGACGGCTTGCTTGAGATGAATAAACCAAAATACCTGGTAAGTATTCTTGGAGAATGAACATCAGTAGTGCAAATCGCGGTGGTAAAGATGTGTATTCTTATGTCAGGACGGCCGCAGATCTACCTCTGACTCTGCTCCTACGTATGAACGACTGCTGAAGGTGAAACAGTGACAGACGAATCTAAAAGTGTCATGTGCATGTAGAGGCATACTCTTCGAGCAAATCTTCCAAGTTTTGAGCAGTCCTCGCCGCATACGTTGTTTAAATGTTCTACATACCACATACAGTACGAAGGATGTAGAACATCATCCCCAATGAGCGTTGTTGTGGTGAATCTCCGTTCATGACCCTGCTATCTCGAGTCCTGGGTTCTCCCAAAGATTAAAATTGTCTCATATCTACTCAGTGGCAGCCATAAAATATTGCTTTTCAAATTATTCAGGAAGATATTTACGTCGATCAACTGGGCTTGGGCGAAAATAGTCCTAAATTTCACTCAATAGCAGCCCATCGTATTAAGCGTCAAGCCAATACCAACAACTTCGAAATGGTTAGTCTTATTGTCTTGCGGATATTAATAGATTGTGAGTGGACTTCTTATCATATCAAGGATTAACTCGATTCACGTTATATTAAGCTTAAATTTACTAGTAGTAGATATGTTTAAAGCTTATATTGAGTTTGGTTGGTTTACGGGGACATTCCCCCTTTTGAGGAAAATATCTGCCACACTCATGTTAGAGCTTCGGGAGCTATCGCTTTGGCTTAAAGTACTGCCGCCTGTTGTATATATACTGGCAAATTTGTAATATCGCGCCACACTGCTGTGTAGCTGATCCATTATTTGATAGCAGACTGCTTAAAGGGAAAATCCAATACTTTTGCCTCATGAAGATGCGTTCGTGCACTTTATCTGACCTTAGACGAGACCGTGTATACATGTTCTGCACACAGTCGTCATGTATGAAAGTATAGATGAAACCGGGATAAAATGTGCCCACAAGAAAACATGCCAAATATGAGCACCTGGGTGAGATTTCTTCTCTGAACAAAACCGTCACTACCTTTCACTAACACTATTATTCCCTGCCTTCATTTGACAGGTGATTGATGCCAAGTTCTCATACGAAGCGTCGACTGCCAATGTTGTGTTCGTGACAAAACTGCGTGCCATCGGTGTGTCCATGTCTCTGTCCTTGGGTAGTATCCGGTTGATGGGCGAGGTATGCACTCAGTACTACAAGACCTTCAAGATTCTCCTATGTAGCATTAATTTTAATATGCATTTGAATAGCCGCTCTATATTAGTACAATGCCACATGTCCCGGCATTCAACTGACTTACTCGTAGGCAAAAGGTCATTCGATCATATATGGAGTACATACTGGTATTTGAAGTTATCCGTTAGAAGCTAGTGCAAGCCAGTGGACTTGTTTTGTAGGGGGTTTTGAGACACGTCATGCAAGGACACAATATGTGGCACGTATATACACTTCACGTACATAGCATCGTGTACACAGTACTACAAAATAACTGTATTCGCGTGTCTTCTGAACGTTGAAGGCGTCTATGATTTGTCTGTGGTTCTGTGACTTTGTCACCTTTCATTTTTAAGCCGTCGATCGTCCGTGGATAATCGTGATTTGTTGGCTTGTAAGTGGCCTTGGGCTAGCTTAATCGATGGATTAGACCACGTAAGCAATAGTTAGTGTATTATTTTGCCTACCAATCGAAAATCCTCAATCCGACAGCCAACATAATGTGCGTATTTAGCTATATAAAGCCATACGCCGAACAACTTATGAACCTCACGAATGACTGTAAAGTTATGGCCAGATAAAGTAACAGGTGTTCAATAGCTGATGATCCTACTGATGAGTACTATATTGTGGTACAGGCCCGTATCACGCTATTGTGGCATCCAGGCAGTGCCACCCTGAAAGGAATGGAACTGAGCCTGCGCTCTTATCCCACTCTGGACTACGTGATGCGACCGCTCAACACTTTTGATGCCACTGAGGTAAGCATAAAGTACATGCAGCTTGGTAAATATCCACAACATCGCCATGTATATAACTTATAGATCGGTTCGGGCTCATTCGAATAGATACAATTACATTCAGCATCATTACGCGACTCGGATGCATGCTACATCGCGAAATTTGCGTCAGTACTATGTACAGACAATATCTGCCAAATTTGTGCGCTCGCCGACATATCATAACCGTCTGAGAACCTGCGTCTGTGGAAATGCGAGTTTATGAGACAGGTCATGCAATTTTTGCACATTTATATGTTTTTTTTTACCGCGAGCAAATCGCAGAAATGTACACGTTCAAGCTTAAACTTGATATACATATGCGTCCCAGGAGAAGTGCAAATGACATGCTCAGGGCCATGAACAATGCCAAAGCTCTGCACTCCGTAGCTCATTGCTTTACAGCAAAGTGCTATCTTGAATCACTCAAATAGCTGCTGTGCTCAATTAAATATCATATATGGTCGTTTAGTGTCCCTGGATATTTGTTTCCTGATATCGCAGTAAGTTCTTTAAAAGCTGACCGCCACATTAAATAGTATTTCGCATTTAGTGTGTGCCGTATTTCTAATGATCCTCCCGCTGTCTGGAAATCACAATCGACTTCACGAGGGGCTCATCGATTTCTGATCTTATCTTTACTAAGGGTTAAGGGTTGCGAATAAATGATTCATTATTTTTTTATGGCTCGTTATTCAACTGCAACTTTTGCTTCATACCTGAGAAGTAAGGACAACTTGTGTTATTGTTTTATCACCGTATCTCGTGACAGATTCCACTGCTCTCTGGATGGCTAACAGACACGCTCAGCACTCTGATCAAGAACAGTGTCGTCAATCCAAATAAGATCTGCATTGATCTTAGTTCTCACACTAATCCCAACTGCGATGATACAGGTAGGTTTTCAGAACGGTTATGGATGGCATTATGTCGATATCTGGATATGCTGGTTTTAATATGTTGTATATACGTGAATATGCGGTATACATGTCAAGAACGAGGACACAGGCGGTTGGCTATAACTACCTACAAAAAAAATATAGTGTTTCATAGAACAAGACCGTGACCAAGTGCCAAAAAACACGTCCGAACCGAAAATCGAATCTGTCCGCAATCTTTCCAGACAGCTTTTGCACATCGAAATCACTCTGCCCTACAAGTGGCAGAGCCACAAATAGAGCCACAAATATTGTTGTAAATAATTATAATACGGTGCATCTCCGGACTCCGGTGTGCATTTATTTGTGTATTTAAAAGTTACAATTCCTATTATTCAACCATTACTGTTATAAAAAATTAGCCCCTGTCGAGGATCGAACTCGAGATCTTTCGCTTCGAAGGCGAACGCCTTACCACTGGGCCACAGGGGAATGATAATCAGAAATTGGCAGATGTTTCATGTATATTTCGTGTGTAACACTTTTTTATCTATTTAATCAAATATCACCTTCCAGACAGCAGACATACATATTACCTACCATTAAAGTATCTGTCAACGAATTAAAAATTAGCCCCTGTCGAGGATCGAACTCGAGATCTTTCGCTTCGAAGGCGAACGCCTTACCACTGGGCCACAGGGGAACGATTTAAATCTTTTAGATATATATATATATATCTATCTTAAAAATCTGTCAGCATCTGTATGATTTGATAGCACGTTCCACAACTTGATTTCGACACAGAATATGAAACATTCCGGCCCATAGTGCACAAGTCTAGCTATTTGGTTATCCAAAGACATTTGTGCCACCTGTTATCACTAAAGCTGGCTATCACGCCGGATCCCACTCCACCATTCGCAATCCACTGATCTGTGATTGTTGTGTGCCGATTTCAACCCTTGTCTGAAACGATGGAGTTCTTGAAAGTTGCATCCACCTCTTTAACACGTAATTAATGCAGATCAATTCGGAGAGGTCATCGGCCACATCATGATTGCCTGTCCCAGCCTCGACAACCTTGGTAAATACACGACAATGCGAATTACACATAGAATTTTTTGGTATCAGAGGTAGCATTTGAACATATGTTGTTGCTATCGTATTCTGGCAAGCATTCGCAACGTAATTGAGGTATCGTTTAGTGTGACATTTACTATCATGTCAGGGCCAAGTTCATGACTGGACGAATCTACACCGCGAAAGCAGCCAACCCATGTGAATTCACTTTTTACCTATTTTCGTAGTATCTATGCTAGATTACGGTATAGCGACGACTGTGATATGCGACTACAATGTTTTTATCATGGAATGATAGTTTATCTATTAGTCATAGTCTGTAGAGTTTTCAAGCATAGCATTACTAAGTAAAATCATATATAACCCATCACACAAAGTTACATTTCCACTCCTACGCTGACATGGTATATCAAAATCTTCGTGTGAATAGAACGAAGGATTCTCTTTATCCGATCAGCGCGTGCATACTTGCCTAACTTCATTCTTCACAGTGACAATGTACCAGAAAAGATGTCTTCTTCATCAACTTTAAGTCTGATACAAGCCTCATTGCATCCAACAGAATTTTTCAAGAAGAGTAGCATCCGATACTCCATTGACGTAACATTACAGAGCCCGAGCCGAGTGCAAGATTCGACATCCACTGTTATCAGCACAACAGGTCTGACCACCATGGTTGTACGTGCAAGGTATATATGTAAGACATGATTTGAAACTAGATATATCGATTTCTCTCTTTCAATGTCAATCCGTCTTGAGACTGCGCATCACAGTTATATATATGATCGGTTTGCATAATAACAGGGTAAACAATGCGCACATATATCAACTTCGATCGGCTTCTGATGTGTCAGTATGGCTGAGGCATCGATTGATAATTGGGGAGCGGCATATGAGAGGCAGAAGCATATTTCTTGGCTTGTAATTTTCAAATGTACACACATAAACAAGGTTAATGTATACACGTTCAAAAAAAATATGGAAAGTTAGCTCTTCCTTTCCTTCCGATACACACACGCTTGTTGAAGATTAGAATTCGATCATAGCATTTAATGCAGAGAAATAAAAAAATAGGGACGACACATTACATTTTATATTTTTAATTTGTAAGCCGACAACTCAATTTATGCCTAAGTTGTCATGGATGAAGCTCTGACCGTAACTCTACACCCAGATTAGTCAAAATCGGGGAAAGTTGACACTGATTATTAGCCTTACTTCTCTCTAATCCATCTGCACGGCATATGCATATATCTGTACAGGAATGAAACCCTGACTATAACGGTGTATGCAGAAGGGCCAAAGTCGAGCGAGCCAAATCTGAAGCGCAAACGTGAACCCGTGGGGGAGATACGCGTACCACTGATCGAGTTAATGACCTCAACTGATATCGTGGAATGGTGAGTGCGTTGTGTCATGTATGTTTCGTATGTGTCTAAATAGGTACATAGCCATGCAAAGATCTAGCAAACACATCATCGATCGTCCCAGCCACCCTATAATGATTCTAAAATTGCCACTTTGATGGAGGGAATATGCCTATTTAAGCATGCGCAAGTGTAGTGTATATAATTGACCCATTGTGATCGGAACGTATGCCGCCCCATATTCTCTTCAGTACGATCAACGTGATTGGATTGGATGTGAATTTGCCTATCAGATATATATTTCAGGCCCGACACAAGATGCAGTCCATCGCACTCAGCGACCTCTCATTATTCGATTACGGTAAGTAGTGGGCTGATGATTCGTGTTAAGATCACTTCGTCTGCTACTAGCTTTTCTTCATCTTTGGACGGTATGTTTATTAACATCGTAGCTAATTTATGTGTATAGCGTAATTCTCGCTGGCCGCTGGTGTTGTGATGTTGGCCTCGCGTGCAACGGAGCTTGTTCAGTACGGCTGGATTGGGGTCATGTAGACGGGTTATAATTAACGTCTCATTACGTCCGTCTATGATGCTGAGCATTCACGATTGTGGTGCTGGGTATTGCATGAATCTCGGTGTTGGTGTAATCTTAGTGATATGCTAGGTGTAAAAGCATTGATTAAGCTCAGATACTCTGACAATGAGACTGGCACCATATGATGTTCAATGTGATTTGCGAGATAATGCGCGTGGGCTTTAACCCCCTAAAACCCTTAAACCTAAGCTGAGAAGCACGCTTCTCGAATATGACAATGCCGGGTTGGAACTGGATTTGGTACACCTCTGCCAGTGTAGTGCTGACTGTGATGTAGGTGTGATGCTGGGTGATGCTCAAGTGTCACGATGTTTCGTACTCACATTCATCGCGGATTTTAATAGTTCAGATGCCATTTGCGCACTCTTACCACAAATATATATAGCCACAGGATGTACATGGTGCAATGCACATAAGAACATGTGCTTGTGCCTGTTGCCATGCGCAGTATTGTCTTATTATTCACCGACATGTTCAGCACCATTGTCTCAAGTTACCACACGGCTGTACGATATACTCATGCTTTGATAGATTGGTGATTTAACAACAACTAGTACAATACCGTAATTGACTACTAACCACTATCTCTATCTGTATGTACTGACACAAAATACAGGGGCGGCAATAGCCCGCCTTGACCTGCAGAGTGGGTTTATCGACTGGAAAGCAAGTAAGATTCCATAAATTTTGACATATATATATACGTGTGTGTGTGTCTGTGTCTGTGACTGTGTCTGTGTCTGTGTCTGTGTCTGTGTCTGTGTCTGTGTCTGTGTCTGTGTCTGTGTCTGTGTCTGTGTCTGTGTCTGTGTCTGTGTCTGTGTCTGTGTCTGTGTCTGTGTCTGTGTCTGTGTTTGTGTCTTTGTCTGTGTCTGTGTTT